ATTCGCCCTGTGTCCAGAAAGAGAGACTTCTAATGGAGGAATAAGATAACCTGAATGCCTCGCTAAAACCTGGCGTGTTTTATCACATACTGCTTGGCCTGTAGTGAAGTCCTGCTTGTGTGCAAACCTTTGAAGAGCATCGCCACACTAATGCTCGCGATTTTAAGAACAATTGTCAGCAGCATTATCTGCAGTCCCTCCTAAAGTGATAGGGGAAGTCACACAGGAGGCATGGGGTATTTCCGCAGATCTTTTTCTAGCCTTGCAGTGAAATAAGAATTAAAATACTGATGATCATAAAACTCCCCGGCTCTGCAAGAATTGCTTTCCTTGGGAAACTGTGAGAAAAAGAAGAATAATTCTGGCTATGAAATGAAATCTGTGAGACCGTAATTTCTTACCAGGAAGGTACGATGTGATGATTTTACATGTTTTGGTCACGGCAAGCTTCAAAATTAAGTTTTTTAACCAAGACATTTTCACATAAAAACAACAAAAGGGTAGGGAAAAAAAAAATCACTTGATATTCAGTGTATTGAAGTGGCTTTCTCAAGTGGATGTTGGGTATTTGGGTAACAGGCCCATGGGCTGTATTTCAAAAAAAAAAAGGTATAATGGAGCAGGATTCCTCTGCGATTCAGAACTGCACCACATGCCCGGTGGGCACAGGAACCGCACTGCTGCCGAAGGAAACAGGGAACTGAGGGAGAGGTCCAAGGAGGGCCAGATGTTTTTAGTAAAAGATGTTTGACTCTCTCTTAGGTCATTTAAAAATATGTCACCTTTTCATTGCAGTGCAACCGCTTAAAAAGGCTTCTGTCGCAAGAAAGTGAAGTGGTGACTCTTTATATGATGCTCGTGCTGCAGCTGCAGTTTGACAGAGTGCCATCGCTGGCTGGTCTGAATCATCCAGAATTAGGGAAATGAATACAAGTATGACTTGCAGCAGCGTGGGCAGCACGGCAAGGTCTTGGCAGGGACCTTGGTGGGCAAATAACCACCCACGCAAGAGCTGACCAATTTTTACGACTGGGCACTAAAAAACTAACCTGGGTTTCAGTGATCACATTAAAAGAAGGTGGCAGACGGGTCTCACCTGCAGGTGTGCATGGCTTCAAAACGGTAAATTTAAGGAGCGTATTTCTCTGGTGTCCCCCATGCAGCCCAAACCCTGGGTACTGCCATGAGAGATACCCCAACAGCATCCCGCAGCGAGGGTGTGACGGTGCCTGCAGCCTGCCTGGGAAACTGCCTTCCCTCTCCATTCCCTCCCTGCCTGGCCAAAATGGGATGTCATTTTAACATAAGCTTTTTTTTTTCCCACTTATGTTTTAAAAAACCTCTAATAGATAAATCCTAAAAAGGAAGACAAAATTAATTTAACTGAAATACCGAATAACAGCACTAACATCTTTAAGTGCAGCCTGCGTCAGGAGGAGCACGCAGTTGTGTAACTTCCTCAGTACACTCGTGTGACAAAGCTTTTGCGAGTGAAGCCACACACGTACGCACTGAGAACTCATACCAGCTGGGCAGGAATAGGAGTTTAATGGACAGTGGCCTTACAGCAAAAATAAGAAGAAGCTTTATAACAGGGGAGCGATATTTAAGAACAAATGCAAACACCAAATGAAAAGCTTATTATTTGGTAGTATTTCATACTATTGAGCAATTTCATTGTTATTAAGAAATATTGTTAAAGTAGAAAATTGGTCTCAAATGTCTCCTGTGAGGAGCACCGTAAGCTGGCTGAGAATCATGAATATTTGCAACAAACAGAAGAAGAAAAGTTGCAAAAATAAGACTTCCTGCTCCTAACATCTAAAGACCCGAGTCTGCAGGTGTCAGTGGGGAAAAACACTCCTGCTCTGTCAGCGGGCACCTTGACCCCGCAGGCGTGGGCTGCTGGCGGCTACCGGGGGACCCCAGAGGAAAATCCCTTGGGGGAGAGGTGGCTGAGGACACAGTCTAAAGGGAAAAGTCCACGGAAGTAACCAAGCTAAAGCCTTTCTTTGCATGCATCACACCTATTTATTATTTGAATGCCTCCTTTATTTATCCTTTTTTTTTTTGTTTACCTCAAATAGTTGTATCTGAGTGCTGCTGAGTTGAGGGGTGCAAGTGCTGGGCAGTGCTGGAGGGCTGAGCTCCCTCTTCAGCCTCAGCCTGACTTGGCAAAAGACCTGCTGAGCCACATGCTCAGAAACAGAGCGCCGATGCTTCGCTCTAGGAAGGTGACTTACAGGCAACCAAATCGCTGCCTTTTCAACTCCCTGCTGACATAGCTGCTCTCTGCTAGCGGGCAGGGAGTGTGAAACAGATGCATTCCCTGAAGATATGCAGTTTTTCCTGCCTAAAAGCGGAGGTGAAGCCTGCAGAGCTTGAGTGCCCCAAATGCAACAGGGCAGTGCATCCCCTGTGCCCTCTCCGGAGCCAGGGGCTCTCACCGCTACTACAGAAGCTGGAATTGGGGATAAACATCCCCATATATGCTCCTATTTGGTGCTCTAAATTTAAGTCTGATACATCCCAAGCTACTGCTCGTAATCTTTTTTCTGGTGACACCTTCTCAAAGCCAGGTGGAAAGAGGACCAGGCTCCCGCACTTCAGACTTAGAAACGCAACTGGTCTGTTCCCCCTCCCCACGTAGGGTAACGCTGGGGTGCCACACTTGTACAGCATGCGGGAAAACAAATACCTGACAAAATAAGCATCCCTGGGGCACTCTGCTGCTCTGCCTCTCTACTCAGACACCAGCAGGACAGGAAAACTAAATGGTCAATGTGGACCAACGTCTTCTTGCAAAGGAGTCCAGAAGGATGGTCATGCTGGGAGGGAAAGTGGAGACACGCAGTTCAATGCTCCTGAGCAAACGCCTAGTGAACTAAAACACTATGCAAAAAATTGGCAAAAGGAGTATGCAAAAAACCTGTCCCAAACTGCTGGTTTTGGTCCCAGTGTCGTGGGCTGGCAATAGCTGTTTTGTGTCACTTGCGGGTGGCTGGAGGGGGACCGTGCCCCCGCGGGGCTGCCAACGTGCCGGCACATTGAATTCAGGTCTGCCAGGCAATTCACCCCAGAAAGGGTGCGAGACTTTCTCATCTCTCTACCAAGGGCTGCATCCCCGCACCGACATGCACCCAGGAAATGTGACCTCCATTTTGTGGGACAGCACAAATGGGACAAGCTTGGGAGCTTTGGGTTATGGGTTTTTTTGTTTAAAAAGCATTTAAAAACCCAATGCTAATGTAAACACCTTGTCTTTCAAATGAAATATAAAGTAAAATATCTATGTTCTGGTAATATTTACATTATAAAATCCTTATTTTCAGGACTATGACACAGAGCTCTTTCAGAAGCATGAGTTTATAACAATTGTACACAGCATGAACCAATTATGCAAAAACTGATTCTTAGATTTTGCCCTATATTCCTATGTCAAGGGGTAGGTTACACAGTTTATACATATTTCCATTTCAGGGGAAAAATTATTAATGGAGTTGAACACTCCATCCAAGAGTACTGGCAAGTTTACTTTCAAAAACCGCAAAGATGTATGAAGTTGCATAACTCAATTGTGCTTTATCTTCTGTGTTGATACCTTTTGTGAGCATGCACAAAAATCAACCACCCTATCATACATATCTCAGTCTGGGAGTCATCTCAGAACTGAAATATCTCTAGATTTTCTTATTTTCTTTTAAGATGGGCATGGATTTCTGTTTTCTTATGACACTCCAAACTGCTCTGTGAGCAAGCACTTCCTAACATGCACAGTCTAAGTTTTCCAACGCAAATGCACAAGCCTAATCCTGGCAACATTTGTGACTGTAAAATTAGCACTATTTGTCATCTCACACATTTCTAAAGTCCCCAGCACCACGTTCAGCGGATGCTCCTATGCTTCTCTGTGCATCTGAACAGCAGCTGCATTTAATTTTGAAAAGATTCCTTCTTTTTTCCCCATACCGCCAAATTCTCCCATTAAAACAAGCTCTCCATCTTGGCAGATGCCGCTGCATTAATCCCATGCACGGTATCAGCATGTTGCCAGCAGTAGGCCGAGACTAACGTCAACTAGAAATCAAACGCTGCATGCTGCACAGGCAATGCACAGAGAGGAGCAGCGCACTGTGCAGGAGCCCAGCCCCAAGCCTGCATCGGCTCAGGAAAAACACAGAGGGACAATTTTTCCCCTGCGGCCTCCCGTTTAGCAGTTTTATGCATTTTCCCATCTCCATGAGATAGTTGCTCCTGATGCCAGTGAGGTGGGCTCCTGCCCCACATGTTTTTGGCAGCCCCCCACTCTGGTCCTGCTCTCCCGGCACCAACACTGGCCTTAGCCAGCGCTGGGTGTCCCACCAAGGGTCAGGCTTGGGCTGCGTTCGTTCTCTACTCTTTGTATATATATGCTTTCCTGCCTAAGTGGTAAAGTGGAAAGGCACAGGGAGGGGCTGCATGTCTTTAAAGCATTTTCTAAACCTGTGGGGCTTTCAAAAATGGAAGGAAAAAAAGGAAGAGGCAAGCAAAGGAACGTAGAAATGCAACCAAAATTCTGGAGACTGCTTGGAAAATACGTCCTTAAAAACAGCAATAACTTTTCTGAACAGTGCTGTAAGCTCAGAGTTACTACCCAGCCTCTTTGCCTGCTTATTTCCTTATCTGCATCTCTGCAAAATGTAAGAGCATGGGGCAAAGAGAAGCACTCGTCGCCTGTGGACGTGCTGCTGGGACTCCCAACAGTTAATCTGCAGCTGTAAGAGAACAAGGGCATGTTCACAGAGGTTGCTTGCAATGGAAATCTGAAGTCAATACTCTTTATAGAAGTGACATTTTTTTCTGCTTTTTGCTGGGAGACTGTATTAGGAACCTCCACATTTACAGCAATATTTTTCTGGAGTTAAACCAGCTAAACCTGAAGATAGAGCTTTTTATTCATCACCATGAGACATACTAAGATCTGAAGAAAAAGTAAATCAGCATGTCGGTTCTACTTCATTCTCTCTTTATGAGGCACCCCCTTCATAACAGCTATCAGTATTGTATTTAAATCGTATATATTGACAAAATGTAATCTACCTCTGTAAGCATTGTGCCATTCGACAGTACTACTATTAAATTTATATACCACAGTTTAAATTACATCCATTTCATGAATGGTAAAATGCTAAAACTCAAGTGTCTAACTGCCAAAATACAGCCTTACTGGAATGAGTACAATTTACAAATACAATAATTACATTTTAAAACCATTAACAATGTTACATCTAGAAGTAAATACTGTAGGACTGGTCAAGACGGTGTTTTCCAAGGAAAAAATGCTGAAAGTTGTTGACACTTCCAACAGAAATGTCCCAAGTGCAGGATTTAGTTCATTTTCCTTAAACTGTAATTAAAACCCGTTCCACGCCCAGCAGTCCTTGGGTATTTTCCATATTATTTTCCATAGACTTGCATAAGCTTCCATCAGTTATCGGCCAAGTATTTACCTAGAAATGGGATCAGAAATCAGCTGCAGGGAGGAAGCAGCCCCAATTCTCGGGAGGCGGCTGCCTGCCTCCACCGGCCCCCGCACCCACGGCCACGCTGCTGTGATGCGCAAGCGGCACACGGAAAAATGCTTGTCTTTCTCTGCAGCAATGGGGCAAAAGCTCTTCCTGAAGATCCCCAGACCTTGCCTTTCATGCAGGACCCACAAGCAGAAAAAAGCCCATGAAATTCAAGGCTTTCGTAAGCGGCAGCAGGATTTATTTCATGCAAAGGAGCTTTTTCCCCTTTTCTGCCAGCCAGCCCCATCAAACCGTGCTGCGGTGGGACCTCTGGGCTTGAACGGTCAACAAATATACAGCGAGGGCAGTCCCAGGCGTGCCTGAACAGCCAGAGGTTACCATCATGGGTTTACGAAAGGCAGGTCCTGCTTGACTAACCCAATCTCCTTCTATAACAAGGTGACCTGCTTAGTTGATGCAGGAAAGGCTGTGGATTTTGTCTACCTGGACTTTAGTAAAGCCTTTGACACCGTTTCCCACAGCATTCTCCTGGAGACACTGACTGCTTACGGCTTGGACTCTGCTGGGTGAAAAACCTGTCTGGATGGCTGGGCCCAAAGAGTTGTGGTAAATGGAGTTAAATCCAGTTGGCGGCCAGTCACGAGTGGTGTTCCCCAGGGCTCAGTACTGGGGCCAGTTCTGTTTAATATCTTTATCAATGACCTGGACGAGGGGATCGAGTGCACCCTCAGTAAGTTTGCAGATGACACCAAGTTGGGTGGAAGCGTTGATCTGCTGGAGGGTAGGAAGGCCCTACAGAGGGACCTGGGCAGGCTGGATCGATGGGCCGAGGCCAACTGTATGAGGTTCAACAAGGCTCAGTGCCGGGTTCTGCACTTCGGTCACAACAACCCCATGCAACGCTACAGGCTTGGGGGAGAGTGGGTGGGGGGGGGCCCGGGAGGAAAAGACCCGGGGG